ATTGTTTCAAAATCAAAACTTTTCAGCGCAGTAATTTGTCCGCTTTCGGGATGTATATTCACAAAGGATGCTATAACATTGCGGCCAGCTCCCCCCCTGAGTATTTGATAGGATACTGCTGCATTTTCATTGCAGTCTTTATCAAATGCACTGACAGAGAATATTGACGCGCCAGCCGCGTTATTTTCCGTCAAGTATAATTCTAGTGGATTATGTGAGAACTCCGGAAAATTATCGTTCACATCTGACACCTGAATGTTCAACTTTTTAAAGGTGGAAAGAGGTGGCTCACCACAGTCTGTAGCTGTTATTGAAATGTCATAATGTGACACAGTTTCCCTATCTAGTGATTCTTTTGTTACTAACGAGTACATGTTTTCTTTAAATGATGGTTTTAATTCAAATGGTACATTTTCTGTTAGATGACATATGACTTTGCTATTTAAACCAGAATCAGCATCTGTAACAGTAATGAGAGCGACCACGGTACCCTGTTTTGAGTCCTCGGGGACTATGCTGGATATTGAAGTCACTTCTATTTCTGGTTTATTGTCATTGACATCTTGAATCTTTATTATAATTCTACAGTCAGTCGTCATCGGCGGCTGACCTTTGTCTGAGGCTTGGACATCTAAATTGTAAACATTGGCTGTCTCATAATCAATTTCTCCGATAACTCGAATTTCTCCCGTGAGTCTGTCTAAAGTAAATAGTCGCAACACACTGGAAGTAATATCACCCCCAAAAGTATACTCGACGTCCCCGTTAATACCCTCGTCTAGATCTGTTGCTTGGACTTTGATTATAGTCTTGTCTAATGGGGCATTTTCTTGCAATGTAACGGAATAAACCTCTTGAGAAAATACTGGTCTGTTATCGTTGTTATCAAGAACCTTTATATTAAGGCTCAGATTTGCGGATTTTGGCGGCGTCCCCCCATCCATAGCGGTTAAAATCAGGCTATGGTTTGTTTTCCGCTCTCTGTCCAAGTTTCTCTGCAGTACGAGGAAAGGGATTTTATCTTCTCCTCTGTCTCGAATTTCAAGATGAAAATGATCGTTTTGACTGAGTTTATAAATCTGCACCGCATTTACTCCAACATCTCGGTCACGAGCGCCTGGTAACTGAAATCGTGCTCCTGGCAGTGTGGTCTCTGCTATTTCTATTACCTTTTCTTTCTCAGCAAAACTGGGTCTATTGTCGTTAGTATCTATTATTTCAACAGTAACATAGTGGACTTCAAGGGGGTTTTCAACAACAATTTTTAGATCTAATAAACAGGCAACATTTCTATCGCACAGCTGTTCCCTGTCCACATTTTCGTGAACATACAACGCCCCATTGTTCGGGTTTACCTCAAACAGCGTACCCTGGGCTCCAGACACAATACGAAAACGCCTGCTTATCAATGTACCGACATCGAGCCCCAGATCCTTCGCAACATTTCCAATAATAGCTCCCACTTTAACATCCTCTGGAGTCGAATATTTAATCTGAGCTAAAATCACCTGCACACAACAGAAGAGCGCGGCGAAAACCAGAGGATACGGCCAAGTTATCATTCTGCCTCTTTGTCCTTTGGAAAAATCATATGTAATAAAATCCACGCGTATTTTTCCACTTAGTAATCATCCAGTTTTCCTGAGATTTTACTCCAGACATCCGTTTTCGTGAAAAGAAAAATACACAGGCGAAACCCCAAACGTTGATATTCTTTGTGGCCGAGGTGACAACGCACACATTAGAAGGGGCTGAGTGGAATTTCGCACTTCCTTATAGTAACACTGACACCCACAGGATCATTCAGCGCTTACATTTAGTAGGAAATGGGGAAAAACAGATTCGACTAAATAGAAACTTTTGTAATTTAATATATTAAA